TGGCAGATGGTAAATATATCGAAAATTATAAATCTCTATTCACTACCTCCATTAGGAACTAAACTTCCTCTCCTCTACTCTCTTCGGCAGCCAATTTTCAGCCATAAAGTCGCCAGCAAGAAGAGCATCAACGCTTTTTTTATTATGACGAAAAGTAGAAAGTACCATAAATTACCGTAAAGCAGATGTCGCGGACCACCTGTTGTCCAACGCTGTCACTTTGGCATAAGATGTGCTTTAAGTAGTCGAACGCACACATAAAACCCAAACTTGGTCCCTTCGCTATTGAGACATTTACAGCGGCCCACATAAGATGGGCAACTCTTGCGGTTGGAAGCTAAATACTTTGTAATAAGAGCAATAAAAAAAAAAAACGCAACTAAAGACAACCGCTTATTTCTTTGCACAAGTATCACAGTTTTGAGAACAATAAACTTGAAATTTGAGGAAAATCCTTTCGAGCAGGTGTAGCATATGCCAAGCGACATACATACATAGCAGCTCAAGCTGTGGGAAACTTCTATGAATTATGCATTTTGTTACTAAAAGTGGCATTCGACTGAACGAAGGCTGCCAACAAACAATGTAAAGTATTTTACTTGCGCACGTACGCACAGCGCACACATTCAGTTACACAAAAACACGTCGAAGTTCACCCGATTGGACGCCCACTTCAGAGCATACTAGCGCTGCGCTAGTAAAACTAAATTAATTTTTAAGTACAGCTGATAAGGGTCGAGATAGAGAGAGAGAGAGAGAGAGAGATACAAAGGAGGGGTGGGTGTGGACGAGAAATGTTTGCATCAATTGCTAAGAATGTCACATATGCGAAGCTCCAAAACTGTTACTTATGTATGTATGTTGCAAGTTGCAACAGCGGCACCAGCTTACTCTGTAATACTTTGACTAAATTTCTTTAAATATGTGTATGCTCTTTCCTAGTTCTTGCTATTGCTTGTGTCTCTTTTTGAGTCCTTTTTTGAAAATTTTAATCGCCACAAGTGATGCTTCTAGTAAATAAAGTGCACATAAGGAAATGTTTCGATACCCTCGAAGGCATTCAAGGGATTTCTATGTAGTTGTGGCAAGTAAGCTAACACATGCCAAAAATTTCTTTTAAATACTTTGTGCACTTTTATTGGAGTTTCGGGAAAATTCCAATACATTAATAGTAGCTGGCACATACGATGTTCTCTTTACTATATTTATGTTGTTCTGAATTTTAAGTAGAAGAGACAACTTGAAATTTAAGGGAGTTAATTAGTAGTAAGGAAGTCGAGATGTAGATAAATAAAAATGAGTAATTGGGCAGTAAAACTTTTACGTGTTATGACTTTGAGGAAAAGGCAAAAGTCAGTTAAAATTTCTATAATGTTGCACTTTTTTTATTTTTTCCAATTCATGCATTTGTCAAGAATGGCCAAGATTCGGAAAAATAATAAAGCGCAGAATGGTAAAAATCATTTGTGTTTTGTTTAGCTCCAGTGTGTTGCCGAAATATTATACCTACGTGTGTCGCCTATGAGGCAAAGTTTACCTATAAAGGTATTTTTTTTTTGTATAGGTATTTTTTTAATAGAATTTTTTTGAGCCCTTATGTCGGAAAAAAATGAGGAGTATAAAGTTGAGTCCTTCGGAGGAAATTAGCTTATGGTTACAGAAGATCTGGCTTAAATTAACCGACAAAGTCTTGTGTGCGGCTTGCGCGTTTCTCTCAAAGTGTTTCCGGCTGGTAAACCGAAATAAAAGTTAAAATTTAAAAACTAATTAATAAAATTGAAGTAAGATATGTAGAAAATTAATAATCAAATGCTTTCTTCGCAAAATCTATAAAAGATCCGTTTATTTTTCAAAAAAACCTGGGGAACAGAAATCCCGTATTGAGTGTATTGAAAATCCACAGGTCCTTCAAGAAAAAACTATGCCTCTACAACGAGCACTATTTGGTGTGGCTTTCGGGCTGGCGAAGTCTTTGAAAATGCTGCCGGTAACGCTGTAACAGTGAACTGTAAATGTTATCGTTACATGATAACAAACTTTGTGTGGCCTGAATTAGATGACACGGAGTTGAACAATATGTGTTTTCAACTAGGTGGCGCCACTTGCCACACCCAAGATTCCAGAGCTAAAGAAAGAATTCAGACTCATTGCAAATGGTATACAGCGCAGAACTATGCGAAAAAGTCTTATAAAATTTCGATATGCGTATGCCGAGTTGCCAGAGGAGTCATGGATATTGTGTTTAATCGGACAATTTTTTATATTCTATTTATATTGAATCATCTGGTAGTAGAAAAATTGCAAAAAAGCAATAACAGTTTATAAAAAAAATAAATAAAAGTTTCGATGGGGTGAACTTAGCTCTGTAGGTAAATATACAACAGTTGTTATAGGCTGAGGTGTCACAGTTCAAAGTCTAATTGGAGCTGTGTATATCTTCGAAAAATCAGCTATAAATTTAACCAATCAAAGTTATTTTTTCCTTTTCAAACTGGGAATCCATGTACAATCTATTGCTAGCAGCTGTGGGAAGAAATAATAACAGGTTATCTATGTATAATCTTTTCAAATTTCAGCGTAACTTTACGATCTTAAAAATATTCACAACTTTGTATGATTTCATTTAGTAGCGTTGCGTAAATATGTATTCACTATACTAAGCACGAAATTGTTTTATGAGTGTGATTTTATTTTAAGGGCGTATGATTGGTTGTCGTTACTCTTCTTCTATATATAGTTCCACTTGTTTAGCCTCAATTTAGTATTATTTCGATGCCTATGCGGCATATAATGATCAAGTTTCATTTACTCTATTATTGTAGTCAGTATTTATTGTTGTGTTCTTACCGTGATTTATCATATTATCGCATTATCGGGCCTCCATAGCGTACGACATGTGAAAACAAAATACAATTAAGTACCTATACTCGCATTCACACTTATGTGCATACGTATTTCTGTATGCATCCCAATAAACATTTGGGTTGGAGATCAAGTGGAAATCCAATAAAAAGTTCAAGGTCCGATGTTGATTTTTAGAGTGTACCTCAATTGGAGAACCAAACCATTCTCTAACAAAACGGCACATTTGTTGTATAGAAAATAATTTGGGTTCTCCACTTGAGAAAAGTTTGGATATCAATTTGAGTTCAAACTTTATTCCACTTTTGGTCGAACCTTGGGAGAAATGTTGGAGAAAAATGTTGGATCCCCACTTGAGAATCAAGAGTTTCTCAAAGATTGGAAATAAGTTTGAAAAATGTTTGCTTTTTTGCATGTTTGGATGAGCCACATACATACAAATAAAATTTTAGCAATAAAAGGGCTAATATGCAAACTCCAACTATATGTAGACAAATTTATGTATAGGATTTTGTGTAAATAGGATCCCATATTCCCATATGATATCATACATATTATAGTGTGAGTTTAGTAAATTGATTATTTTATACCCATAGCCACATACATATGTACACATGTTATATGTATGTATATAAATATGTAAAATTTTGTTTATTTATTTATTTAAAAGCGTAAAGTTTAGTATGAACTATTTCCATCTACATATACATACATATATTTATGCACTAAAATACAGGCAATTGAATAAAATAATGTCCGCTCTGTATACATATTTATGTTTCAAAGCTCATGCGTACGATAGTAGTCGCCGTCAATGGATACTCAAACACGCACACACATATTTTTTTACACACAATACACACACACATATCTATATATGCATGTGTGCACTTAATGCTCATATAATTCATACCAAAATGCTTTATTTAATAAACATATACATGTGCATATGTATGTAGTGTATGTGGGCACCAAAATGAAAATACTTACTTATGCACTTATTTATGTTTTTGTATATGTACATTAATTCATACATCTAATAGATTTTTGAAAATTTCCACATTTTCATTTTACGAAATGCATTTGCTAAAATTCATTTGCAAAATTATTTATGCATAGTATTTACCGATGTTATAACTGGTTGCGATAGCGAGTGAGTCCTTTCATGTGAATGCATAAACTCGTATGTAATAATATTTATTTATATGGACATACATACCATAATTAAATAGCGTATTTGAAATGCTTAAATATTTATTTAGCTATCGGCGAACGAAATTATAATTTTAGTAGTTCCCATGAGTCTATGAATTTTGAATTGCATATTTTAAGTATTATATACATATGTAATTTAAAACAAAAAAGAAAGGATTAAAATCGTAGACAATTTTCCTTATTCACACATATACATACATTAGAGAGGTCCAAAAAAAAAAAAATCTTTTCCTTCCAAAATTCTTCCAGTTGCCGAAAGAGGTGCTGGCACCAAACTCTACGTTCCTAGATATAAATTTAGAGGATGCCCATGAAATGTTTATAATTTACTCAAGCAACCTAAGGCTATTTCAAATTTAAATGAGCTGAGCATATATTACCAGCTGCAGTTGCCATGGCAACACTAGCTTCTTATAAAAATCTTTAATAAATTTGTTTCAAGGCATTCAGTAACACATTTCAAGTTCAGTGAGCACCCTGTATGGTTACTGTAGAAAATTGAAAGCTGGTATATGTAGTTATTACAAATACCAATACCAAATACCAAATACCAAATATAAAATGAAACGTTTGCAAAAAAACTAAATTTAAAATGTCATTCCATTCACTTAAATTTATTTGAACAAATCGTGTTAAAGGTCTGAAATTTTAAGAAAAATCATAGAAATATATTTAATTCAAATAAATTCGAAACCCATTTCCCATGTATACAGTCGAGCTATTTATTAAAAAAAAACTCCAATTTAGCTGTTTTTGCAAGGTACCGTATAAAGATTCAAGAGAGATTGAAACATTTTGTCTTCTGATCTTATATGAATGTATATGTATAATATTTTTTTGCTTTGGTACTTATAAATATGAAACGCACCTGCATCCAACACGCAAATGTCAACAGCATGCGAGTTCGAAGCGGCCACAGCCGGAAGGCAATTGCACCATTTCAATTGAGTGTATTATATACGCTAGTGGGTGATATTAGACTCAATTGAATTTAACTAAATAAATGATGGCAGGCGTAATAAATTTAAATTGGCGAGCTCAAATGTGAACGCTGAAAGCTTCGTAGCCGAAATTAAGCAACAGTATGTTAGCGGTATTAAATGCGAATAGCGGTTGAATAGCGATAGCGGTAAAAGATTCTAACGCGAGTGAAGAAAGTTTTCATAAAAAATAGTAGTTTTAAAGTGAAAAGTTTTTGAAGAAAAGTTTTGAAAAAAATGTCTTCAATGAACTGTGCCAAATGAAAGTTGGACCATGATGAATACAAAATTTGCATTGCAGAAAACTGGAAGGGTCCAAAAACTAGTTCTCAAATAAATACCCTCCAACTATCCATGGAATAATCTTGCATGCTGATAATTTTTTGGTTTAAGTGCAGTGATCATAATTAAAAATTCATAACAGCTTCCCTAATTGTTTAGAAACGTCGTTAAAAATGTGATGCGAGGGTAAAGAAGTAGCCCAATACAAACTTAATTTTTAACAACAAAAAAAATCAACGAAATCACGCTCCAATACACATTCCGCAACGCAAAAAATGTTTGCGCTCCAGCAAGTCACAACCATGACCGCAGCTTGCTTGCTCTGCTCCATTCTCTTCGCCGTTTGGCCAAAAGTGATACTTTGTCGACCCTCGCAAGATTATTCCACCGACGGCACCGAGCTGGTCGTCGTTAAGGAAATTGTGCGCTGCACTCGCCAGGGACTCCACGAACTGTGCCAGAACGCCACAACAACGAATGAAGATGAAGAGCAGCACACCGCGCTTAATGCGGATAATGAGTCAGTGATGGATGTTGTGGATGATTTGATTTTGTTAGAGAAGAAACCAAAGTCAACGCAACGACCACAACCACAACCACAACCACAGCAGCAACAACAACAACAACAACTGCACCAACATCAGCGCAAACAAACACATCCCTACGGTACTTATCAACAACAAAGTGAATTGCTGACATCTGCCGCCGCGCGGGAGGACACATTAGTTTCTGCCGCCGCTGCGGCGCCAGCCATTGGCGATCCCTCCGATTCCACAGCGTTCGGCAGCTCATATCATCAGGAAACCTTTGACTCGGACAGCGATAGTAGTGATGCGGCAGGAGATGAACGCGACAACGTAGCAGCTAACACCAAAACTACCGACGTAGATGCTGTCAATGCCGCGGCTGCCGATGAAATTATAGCCGATGGCGTCCTGTTTCACGGCGTGTTGCTGCGATTGGCCGACGGGCCGCACAGCTTGCCTCAACCGGTGCCGCCCGTTGACGTGAGCGATTTCGTGTCATTAATGCCGGCCGAAGAGGTTAAATCGATTGCCGCCAATTACTATCACAATGATGCGGAAGTGCGTCGGGCCTACGCCTATTTGAGTGGACCGGATTTTGTAGCGCTGCGTCAGCGCATTGTGGCATCGCCGGAAGTGGGCGCATTTTTGCAATATTTAAATGTGAGCGGGTTTGATGTGTTGAAATTTGTATCCGCTATTGCAAATTTGACAATAATAGAGGATAATATGCGTGACGGTATGCGGATAAGTGGTGCGGAATATCCCAGTAGTGAAAGTGAGCAACATTTCCAGGTTGGAACGACCAGTCCGGTGGTGAATGGTTAGTGTTGTGTTTATTTGAAGTAACTTATGAAAAAACACGATATCGGAAGAATGTCGAGGAAGCTTTGCAGCGGAGCTTTTCGCATTGAAATATTTGTGGATTTTTCGCAAAATTGAAATAGTTATTATGATTTTTGTTCGCATCATCGCGTTGCTGAAAAATTACACTGAAAATTCAAATTTGAATAGATGCAGCTATGTTTCAGTGCTTATAAAAAATTTGCTGCACGAATACACTCATCAATGTTACCAGGTCTTCGACGTGGAAAAACATCCCACTTAGTCTAAAAAAAAACGTAAATTACATCATTAAATTGTAAACGAGTTGCAAAAGAACGCTCCAACTCGGCTAACTATTTTGTGACAGCACTTGTAAAAACCATCATCATTCCCAAAAGGTTAACAAAACAAACTGATTTTTTTTCTTGGAAAATTAATCAATCATTTTAATAAATTTTTTCTACCAAAGTAAATTACGTTTATTTATGACAATGCAGGATGAGCTCGGATTTCGAGAAGCCGGACGGATGTGTCGCAATATACCACTTAAGTGCAAATCGATCCCTTGGTTTTTAAGTGGTACGCCATCACTCTTTAAGACAAAAGTGTGTGCGTTTTAGCGAAAGTGCGAAAATGCGAAATATTGGACGGTTTTCTACAACAATAATATGGTACCGTTTCACACTTTTAGTTTCGCACAAACGCACAGATGAAACCCTGACCACAGTTGCCACTTTGGTAAATTGTTACCAAAATTGGTAGAAAAAATTTGGGTTGGTAAGAAGGGAAATTTTTTTATATCTTGGTAGATTTTTTAAAGTATTTGGTTTGAAAAAGAAAAATATAAATTTTCGATCCCGCTTTATTTTCGCAGCTATCTATATATTATAAATTTCATTCCAAAAGCGTTGTCTACTTTATCGCATTAAGTTTCGAAAGCTTTAAGGCACACTTTTTATATATATACACATTTAATCACAGCGATAAAAAGCGAACCTTTCGTGCTTTTGTGAGGAGCTTTTGATTGCCTAAATATTTTGAAGGATTCTTTAAATAAGAAGAAAAAATGGACAATACACTACGATTGTTCGTTACACGATGAATATGTATTTTTCTCGTTTACACATTTTCGTGTGTAAAAATCATTTTTGTTAGCGGCTTTACACAATTCTACAGGTGAAATAAAACAGAAGATGTGTATTTTGTAGCTTGTACACACTTTCGTAGTAAATTTACGCACACCACAGCAGCTATATTATACTGTAAAAAGTTCGAAATTTAAAAAAACTATTCGTTGAATAATCGAGCATGTAATTTCGCGAATAGTAAGGTAGGAAATCAGTAATGAATTGCTAACTACACTGGGTAAAATTATTGCACCTGAAAATTAATGAAAATTAAAATTGAGTAGAATATGGTCGATGATGTTTGTTCAGCTTTGTTGTAAATTCCATCACTTTAGTGTTTCGATGAGATGTTGCACTATTCACAAATTGTCATTGCATAACGTGCAAAACTCGCATTCACAAGGCATATCCAAAGCGAACGTTTCAATATACTGTTTTGAAGAAAATTAAGCTCATGAAGCAATGCTGTTGAATGGATTAATTAAGACTGGTAGAACACCTCAAATGGGTTACAACCAATCTACGAAACAAAATTTATACTATGGCCTTTACCCCTGACATTTAATTCTAGTTTTTTTTTTTGACAGATTTTTGGTGTTGAAAAGTTCAAAGAAATCTTTTTGATGGAATGGATTTTTAATTAATTTCACTTCTCGTTTGTAGAACAAATCTCGAAGGAACCGGAAAAGCTTGCTTAATTTTTTTATTAAAATTAACTCTCGAATTCTTTCCAAAGCGTCCTAACGTAAACAAGCAATGCAAATTTTCAAAATAATGTTAAAAATGTTAAACTGGCAACGCTCATTCTCAGACATGTACGCAGTTAAAGCAATCTGATAGCTTCGCATCACTCGGAACGGTTTCTCAACCTGCTAGGACGAACCAATTCCAACACTTCAAAAGTATTATTGCATACAAAAATGAGTTTTCCATTACCAGCGGGCAAGCTCACATGAACGCTTAGGGCTCTGGTCAAATGGCGTCAACTCTACATTGAATATGGTCAGCGATAACTGCTGGAAACCAGACATCACGTGCAGAAAGGAGTAAATAGTTTACCTGCCGCATTTATTTTCAATAAAGAATAACCAGCAACATTTTTTAATATTTACATATACGCATTAGTATATGTGTAAATTAGGGTGTGCCAGCAAGTTTCTTTAGCGAAATTCGATTCGCATAGATGCCGCCTCATTTTTTCTCATTTGGCGAAGAAATATTATTAAAAGGCGAAAGCTCCTTCCGAAACAAAATCTTCATCAGTAATATTGCCATTTTCCGGAGGAAATAAAATTACTTCATCGACTTAGCATGATTTTCTTCATCGTCTTCCAGTAAAGCAAGAGTCTCATTAACAGGTCTATTCTGCACGTTACCAAAGATTTTGTAACCGGAAAATTTTATTACCAAATAATGTTACGAGTTCTTGTCACCGCGATTCTAATTACGTTGGTAATGCAGTTAAAATATTCAGCAATTCAGCTATGAAGAATTGTGGAGATTCTGGCATTGCATATTTCACGGAGCAATGCTTTGTTACCAGCTTATGAGATGGTAGCAAAATTTACCGCTTACAAAAGTACACAGAATTCGAAAAGGGTTTAAAATTTGACAGGGACTTAATTAACCGGTTACAAAACTTTTATTACCAGCGCAGAATAGACCTGTAAGTTAAATTTCGCTCTAATGCAAATAACCTAAGTAGAGATAGCCATGTCTATATGATGTATTTACTATATATATTACACTAGCATTTGTTTATTGAAATGCGCAATACGATTACAAAACTATTACATACCAATGCATACTTTACTTTTAGAATGTAACAGAACAATAATTTTACTTCATCATACTAATATTAGTTTATATTTGCAAGCCTAATCTATTCATTTTTGATATCCTTGAAATTCTAAAGTCCTTTTAAAAAAAGCCTGACGTCAGAGAGAAAAAACTAGAAAAACTGGAAGAAGGATTTTGAAGGTATCGGAAATAATTTTTTTTTTACGCTTAATAGCCAAATCGACTAGAATTTATTTTCACGCAGCTACCGAAGACCTCCGACACTGTTGTAGTGGCCTTATTTTATTTATTACAAATTTGCCGCGGTTCATGAAGGTTAAAATTGATAAATCTCAAAGTAGTGGACCAGAGTAGGAGGTCTCGTTTTCCCAAAACCTAAGGGTCTACAAATGAAACGTACATAAGTCGCTTAGCGGCATTTTTTGAAACTAAAGAGCGACCGTAGAATGTTTTCTCACACTCATTTGAAACGGATAAGTGACGTGACATTCACCCTTTAGAGAAAACGAGAAATGTCCTGAAAAAAATTTGTACATTTTAGTGTCTTGAAAACACAAAAACGTATATTTAATACATTTCAGCTCCGCAGTGCATGCGACAAACATAGCGATTGTTTATGTGAAATTAAATTTTATAACACATGTGGTTTCTTAGTATATAGTATGTTCTGAACCAAAATTTCAATTTAAAGCCGACACGTGTCGTCCGTCATCGTACAGCAATAAAACTGGGTCAAAAAGAAAAAAATAATAATATGTATGTTTATAGAATTTCACTCCTTATATTCTGGGACACCCTAATGTACATACATTCATTCGTACATATGGACATACATATATAATAATCGTAAAAGAAATAATTTTCATTGCATAAAAGTATGCGATTTTCCAGCTGGCCATAGGCCAATAGAAAATTCGATGCAGAGTTGGAGAGCATAAGTGTCAGTAAGAATGCCGTTAGTGAATGGCTTGCAACCCACATAATTGTGTGCTAACGTTGGTCCTTCCACTTCATTTTGGGGCATCCTATGATTTTATTTGAATTGTTTTCAATGTCATGGTTCAAGTACTAAGCTGACGGCGTGCCGCAATGGCGCTTGTATAAATGCATGTGTATATATGTATGTAAGTAATCCTTTGGCAAAAAACATGCACCTACTTTAACATACATAGTATATACATATATGTATATGGAGATTCTTACCTCTACTAACTACATACAAGTGTCCAATCAGCGAACTCAGCTGGTCGCCTTCTGTTGCAATGCGGTCCGGTCACGACCTGAATTATTTAAGTGTAAAGCGCGTACGAGCGCACACTTGATAAAGTACCCAGCCAGACGGGATAGGACAGGACGACACGACAGGGAAATGCATGCGCGTGTAAATGTGTTGTTGGCATTTAGTAAAGTTGGTGATTTTGTTTCGAGCACC